CAGTTTCTTGTATTTTATCCAATGAACTTTATCAGTCTCCTTCAGGTTGAAGTATCATTATTTTCTAGGCTGTTGTTTCTCACTCGATCGTGACCCTTTTCTTGGAGGATGTTTTGTGTGTCTGTTATTGTTATCAGACTTCTCTTAAGTTTCTGTACCTCTGTCTCGATCATAGATTTATATTATAAAGCTCGCCCTAGACTGAGCACTCTGACGTGATTCCGGTTCAGCATGGAGTGCAACGTTTGGTTTTAGTAAGAGTTTTAAGGCAGGCACTTGCAACACAATAAGATCATATAAGAGCCGAAGATCAGAGATGTTACAAGAGAGTAACAAATACAAAAAAGAAGGAGGGGGAGATAAAGACGATAAGATTTTCTATATGAAAGAAGGAGCAGACCACACCAGAGCACCCGCCAAACCACCAACCGTGCAACGTTTGATTCTATTTGGAACCAAGTAAAGAGCACAGAGAGAAAGGTTACGCGTGCACTACTCGACTACTGCGAGAGTGCTGTTTTTGTCCTTGATTTGCGCATACATTGTGGGCATAAACGTAGCAACGTTTTCATAAAGGGGGGGGGGGGGGGGGGCTGGTTTTAAATTGACGATTTTGGGTCAGTTTATGGTATCTGGACTTTTTTGGTATTATAATACTCCAACCACTTGTAAATGTAAAAAGTGCTTACTCCTTGTGTTACAATCATCATCTTTCAGATTTTCTTTCCTAGAACTTTTATTTTGCCTAATATGTAACAAAATGTCGTTTTTTCTCAAAATTTAATTTTTTTATGTCTTTATCATTTACTTTTTTATTCTATTTTTGATTCCCATGAAATTTTCAGGGCTCGTTATTCATACCATAACCTAACGTTATACTAGTGGAAAATGAAATTGATACATTCATAAGTGAGTTACATATATTATTATGTAATCGAATTCAGAGGCATGAAGGGGTCGTTCAGTTATCCATCTCTAACTTTTTTCCTATTCAATATATCCAAGATCCCAACTGTATAAAATTTTGTATTGAGTATATCTATCAATGGACCAAATTTGAACAAATTTGGTTAGCAAATAAAAAATCCTTGTAACTTAAAAAAAATAAATTAAAGTTACATTTTAGATATGTTTTCTGTTATACCTCCATGCTATAACGCTTTATCTGAAAGTTCATAGTTACCGAGATAGGGTTAACCCCCCCCCCCGATTTTTTAAAAAAGAGTGGCGGCCATGACAGTACCCGATCTAGGACATTTTAAAAAGTCAAGTCTTTGGTCTCAGTTATGTCCTTCGACCAGCCTTGACATATTGTCAAGAGCAGACGAGATAAAGCAGATAAGGAGTGGTTAGACAGTGAAAGCTTTCTTCTGTGTACGCGAAAAAGTTACGCATCTCTTTTTATCAGGGCATAGAACTGGATTCATTTCAACGAAGACTTCTCTTCTGGTGGCGGCATTCTGCTCTTGGGAGACTTTCCGACAATTTGAGGTAGTTACAATCATTAGTCCTTGCGTCTGTTACTGTTACACTGTTACTGTTACTGTTACTGTTATTGTTAGTGTTATTGTTAAAATGTAGGTGTTCCTACGCTCACAAGAAAACAAATAAACAAATCAGATCGTTTAAGAGGCGAGCTTAGACCTTGCCTGTCATGATTAAGAGGGATACAATGTCCTAGAAGAAAAACTGAGATACTTGATAATATTTCTCCTATCTCTGGAATCGAACTCTGGTCCTCTGCGTGCGACCTTCGAGCATTTAACCGCTACACCACGAACTCTGGTCCTGGGTCTATACATTTATAAAATGTTGAAACGGAAAAGAGTAGAATGGCAAAAATCTCTAGAACATGTATTTCTGCACATTCATCTGTCTCGTTCTCTCCCTTCCTCCCGCTCTCTCACACACCCCCAAC